GGTTGAAACTCCTCAAAGAGGACTCTTTAGAAAGGTTTAAACAGTAAAGGGAGTTATTAAGTTCTTGGGAATCCTACTGAAACCCATTTTTTCTCACTTTTAAGTCAAAGGTAGTTGGTTGTCAAGACTTCTCTTTATTTCTCCCAAAGGCATGTTAGAATGGAAAGCTCGTCTGAAAACTCTGGTTTATAATGTGGTATCTTTGAAAGAAACAAAAGGTACAAGATATTAATACAAATATAAATGCTCAAATACATGCTCTGTGCCAATCTGTCAGGTGAATGGAAACTATCCTTATGGAACTAAACTCTTCAGTGCAGCTTTTTAAAGTTGCTTTGAGGCTTATGCTTTGTCAGATTCAACATTCTCATCTCTACATACCAGATACAAGGAAATTTAGTTTGCCACTTGATTAAATATCATGATTCTTGTTTCTTGTTTCCTTTTCCTTTCCTTGCCCAGGTTAATAAGCTCTTCAAGGATAGTGAATCTTTTGTCTCTATAATACCTGCCCCATTGTTAAGTAGGAGGCAGGCAATTCAGTATGTCATGATTAGTGAATTGATCAAGTATGTCCCTATGATGCTCTGAAGAGAAGATACTATGTGGTAAGACACTATTTATGTCACTGAGACACATGAGTGGTATGCCAATTAGTAAACCCACTCTACCTTTCCAGAGGCCTAAGGAATGAATGAATGGCAGAGTGAGGCAGCCTACGTAGGTCTCTAGGATTTATATATATTGTTAGTTATCCAAAGATGACTGGCCTTTAAAAACCAAAGCTCTGAGGCAAGAAAAAAAAGAGCCATCTTCAGTAACCTTAAAAAAATATTCAGGACCATTTGGTTATGGGAGGAAAGGAACTCACTAAATAAAACTAATTTCAGGCTTTCAGAAAAACTGTCTCAAATAATCAGATAAATATTATTTCTCTTGACCAATAATTTTGTGAAAAAATAAGTGAAATTTTAAAATGAGGCTACAACGAAAGAGGATTATCACTAGGATACCTGACTGCAGTGCCGGAGTACAGAGTACCTTTTCATGGTGCTATTCTAAATGTAAAATCTGGTGTCCTGATGGAATGTTGACAGATTTGTATATGCTGCTGTATGAACAGTGTTAATTCATTATCAAATTATGAAGTACTTAGAAGTGTTGGCCAGTTAACTTGCTGGACTCCCTAAGGATTCTTTATCCTACTGCATTGCCTTTGGGGGATGCTGCTGTGATATATTTGACTGCACGAAAGCTTTACTCTTCTTGAGTGAGCTTGAGTATTAAAAGGATCCATCAGTTGGAAAAGAAAGGACTTGGAGTTTAATCTAAATGAAAATGAATTTTAAGGGGGATTATGGTTTGGAGACTTTAATGAACCACTTATCTTCCTTGCTTTTTCTTGATTTGCTTCACTGTGGCCTGAGGTGAATGGAGTCCTTTGTTTTGGTTCATCCAAACTGCTTTCTTTAATGTGTGTTCTGGACCATTCCCAAGAAAGCTGTAGGCTTATGTTGAGGGCCTGGGATCTGAGAAAGAAATGGAGTTTGGAGGTGTCAGACAGCCTGCTGTGGCTCAGCTACAGATTCAGGCATCTATGCTTTGCTACAATAATAGAACTGAGAACCTTCCCGCCCAATAAAATGGTAGTTTTTATTGAGCGTTCCTTTTGAATAAAAAAGAAAACTTGGGGAACAAGCCTTCTGTTTGTCATGCCAACCACTAGAGGGCGGAATAGTCACACTTCCTGGGAAAGATATAATTGTTTCTGATAGAGGAGACTAGTCAGAACCCATTTACTAACTTTAATAGGACTTGGTAAAACAATGGAGTTCCTACTTTAAGGTGCATACTAATCAGCAGAGGAGCTTGTTAAAAATACAGCTTCCTGGGCCCTGCCCTCAGATTCTGATATGACAGCTCTGGATGAGATCAGGGAATTCTCCTACAACTGTCTTGGATTTTACTTTGAGAAACATTGATCTTAATGTTTTGGTCATGCATTGTTCCCTGATTCTCTTTTTTCTTAAGATTGCAAAGCAAAATGATTATTTTGGAGGAAAAAACTTAATAGTAATAGAAAGCAAGGTATAGGAGAATTAGAATGTTGTTAAAGGTCTTAGTCTAACAAATTTCAAAGGAGACAGGCTTTGTAAAGATTCAGACTCAAAGAAGCTACTAAAAACATAGTTTTGCATGGAATTATACTTCATTCAATAAGATCATAAAATCCTTAAGCTACAAGTCTCAAAATTTTTAATTAAATATCCCTTTTATGACCATCTCACAGTGCAACCTATTTTATCCTTTGGGTGTCATGAATACCCTGCACACAACGTCTTGGCATTGTGAACTGTAATTGTAGAAACCTTAAATCGGAAACAGATCATAAAATGAGAATTTGTGCATTATAATCGTGGGACACAGGACTTGTGGTGTTAACTTTATTATAGAGAATTGCTCTGGCTCACATAAGCTAAAAAAAATCGAATCCTTACAAAACGGATGGATTAATTAATAGCCCAGAGCTTCTCTAACTCTGTTAATTATAGGTGTGCCAAGAATGGATCTTCCCCTTGGCACTTGGGGCACCTGAGCGTGACAGGAGTCCCTGGCTAGTCATCTCTGCCTCTTCATTCATTTCTCCCAGTGCCATGGAAACATGTTTTCTGTTTGTGCCATTATGTGACAAAAGTTGAGAAGCACTGGAAAGACTTTGTCCTTTAATACTTTCTAGTTTCCGTTCATAATTTTATGATCTAAAATGTGACATGTACTGTCTCTTGATTATTATCTAGGAAAAACATCTCATGCAGCAGCATTATCAATGTTTACTTTGAAATACGTAAAATAAAGTATGCAGTTCCTTCTAAAGTTCTTGCCCAAGGTGACTTAAAAATAAAAATCATTTTGAAAAACATTTAGACCATCATGTATTTTGTAATACAGTTGGGTCACTGCCGATTCTCAAGATAAATGTGTTTAAACAGAAGCTTTCTCATTCATCACCAGCCTCAGCTAACATCCAAATTTATTTAATGATGATGCAAGCCCACAGCGTTGGTGTTGTAGTTCATCACCATGGAAGTGTTTCTGTCAACAAATCCTCGCTGTGCTATCATGAAATTGATTTTGCAGGGAAAAGGAGGATAATTGTGAAAGGGTTCTTTTACTTCTACAGATCTTCACAGTTTGCTTGGGTGTCTAAATGAATTGTGTTTAAAATCAATAACTGGCAATAAAATTGACCGCACTAAATTAACAGTTATGAGGTTGGTAAAGGGAAAGTGGCAATGAGCTACTTTGTCTGAAATCATCTTTTTGGAATGTGACTTGGGGACAATCTTTGTAATTTAAAATGTTCCTCTGAAAGCTGGTATTCCCTGCTACAGAAGTATAGATTATGCTGAGAATCCTATGAGCCGGGTGCCTTGCTTGAGATTTTCTAACCTACCTTATAAATGGCATAACTGTAATCACAGAAACTTCCCTCAACTAAATCTTTTAAAAATGTCTTTTCTATAACAACTGTGTCTGTAACTATCTTTGGCTTTAATGTGCTTGCTGAAAAATTTAAAAACAAAATGATTAAATTGTAAGCTTCTGAAGGCAGCCCACTTATAAGCAAGGCAGGAAGCACTTACCTTAAGTAATCCAAACTGTTTTGGGACCCATATAGGAAAAAGGAACAAAACTGAAATTTTTGCTTTGAATCAGAGTGTTCAAGAGCATATGTCACAGTGGCCGATTCCGGGTTTGGATGTAGATATGTATGTTTTATGGGAGTTTTTATCTATGGTAGAAATACAGTCAACTCTTGATTGTCAAGGTAACTCATATTTCCAAGTGTGCTTTTTCTGGCTTCCTAGCACATTTCAAAGCTTTTTACTTTCACCATCAGCTCATATGCTCACAAAAGCAAATTTTTTGATATTATTTTATTGTTATTATCAGTAAACATTAAGTCTTAAGTTCCTAACATGTGCTAAGTACTGTGCTGGGCACCAGAGTTTTTTTTTGTTTTGTTTTTTATGGTGACATTGGTTAACACAATCTGATAAATTTTAGCTGTACATTTTAACAGTAAGGCATATATATTTACCTTGTGTGTTCACCTCCCATTGTTAGATTTCTTTCTGTCACCACATATTTGACCCCTTTTACTCCGTCTACCACCAGAGATATTAAGATACATCTCAAGCATAAAGTTAAGTTTGCTCATGAGAAATCTTATAGTTCACTTTGAAATCAAAGAGACTTAAGATTTTATTTAAACCACTTTCTCTTTCTCTAATGTGTATATATTTACCTTGTGTGTTCACCTCCCATTGTTAGATTTCTTTCTGTCACCACATGTTTGACCCTTTTTACTCCGTCTACCACCAGAGATATTAAGATACATCTCAAGCATAAAGTTAAGTTTGCTCATGAGAAATCTTATAGTTCACTTTGAAATCAAAGAGACTTAAGATTTTATTTAAACCACTTTCTCTTTCTCTAATGTGTGATCAGAAGTTGACTGTAAATGGGAAGTAGTTTTTTTTTTAAGGAAGAATTAATAGACATGAACAGGAAATAAAATTCTACTGTACATGCAAAAATATAACACAAAATGATCAAAAGAAAATCCGGCAAGCAATGGTAAAAATAACAAATTATTTACTGCTTTATAATGTTAAAGTATTTCACCAAGAACAGTTGCAGTCAAATTAATGTGAGTTATGAAAAATGAAATACATAAAGATGTATTTATACAAGTGCAGACTAAATATTTTTCATACAGGTATGTAAATGAAAAGATATACAGTAAGTGCACACTTGATATAACTATGCAGGCAACAGTTAGTTTCAGATACTCTTGAATAGTTCATGCACAAACCTTCCCAAAGTACAAGTTGAGTCAGTCTTTGGGGGATGTAGAGGGATAATTAAAAAGGATTGAGTTCCTTGCAATAGTATCAATATAGACTGGATGAGGGTCAGTTATATATATTACTTACTGTAATTTGTGATTGTCGAGGAAGAGGTGTGGCTGTTGGTGTGATTGTAATACTGCTGGTGACTTTATTGGTTGTTTTGTTTAGTGCCCCATTAATTAAGCCTTGAGTTCGGTTATCCTGCGGTGGTGTTGAAGGGCTGGCAGGTCTCATGGGGCTGGCTACAGCTTGCATGTAAGGACTTCCTAAGTGAATGTGGATTTTATTATCCTCAGTAGTTATCACACTTGAACTATTACTGTTTGAACGTTGAAACTGCCATGATGACTGCCGGTCTGGGGAGACTCTGAAAATCGCATGCTTGGCACTGATTTCTATTGGCTCTGGGGAGCGTCCCTGCTCAGGAGAGCTAGCTGAACCAGTCACAGCCAAAACCTGAATAGGTGACATTGTCCTTTCTGGAGTTATAGAACCACAAGACTCTGGGGTCTGTGCTCTGGCAAAGGCCGCCATGGTAATTGGGGACATGCCTTGCTCTAAATTCAAGAGGCCTTCGGCAGAGGTTTTGGGTTTCATCGGTGTTATGGAGGCGTTTTGGAGGATGGTTATCCTTTGCTTTGGGGTGCCACAGTTTGGTATCACTGCAGTGCTTGTGTAAGAGTGTGGACTCTCTGTGGTTGGACTTGTGATTTCAAGAGTAGCTGTGTTCTGGACATGGTCTGGAGTAACTTTTATATGAAGTGGCTGCCCAGGTGTGTGGCTTAGGACCAGATCTCCAGGTTGCACAAAGTTGCCATTGGGTTTAGTTTGTATTTTTCCATTCTGAGGATGGCCCTCCTTGGATTTCATCCAAGGAATCCATAGCTTCCTGTTAACAGGACAGGGAGTAGATGTGTTGCATTTGAAGGACAGCATGGATTCCTCCTCATTAGGGTCCTCTTCCTGGTCCTCACTCTCCTCATAAAACTGACCATTAATGACTGCTCGTTCCAGAGGAATGAGACTCTTGTAATCGGGTGGTTCATTGTCAGCTGCTTCTGTTTGAACTTCTTTAGAAAATACTTGAGGGTCAGAGATTTTTCTTCCATTGAGGCTAGGCCGGAGGCTCTTACTGAAGTGCCTATACCTCTCTAATTCTTTAGTGAGGTTTTCGATCTCTCTTCCTAAATCTCTGTTTCTGTTTTCTTGTTGATTGAGTTTCTTTTGCAGAATGGAATGGTCTCCCTGGAGGTGACATATCAGGTCCTCAGTTGCCATGTATTCATGAATTTTCTCTTTTAGTGCATCCACTTCTCTTGAGAGGTGCCCCGATTTTGCTTCTTCTTCTTGAAGCCTTTTGAAAAGCCACTGTTCATGGCTGGACTCTGTTTTTTCTGCTAATTTGTACTTGGCAAGTTCCATTTTAACTTGTTCCAGCTCTTCAGATAAAAATTGAGCTTTGTCTCGTTCATTAGCATACCTTCGTTCTAGAGTCTCATACTCATCCTCTGTTTTCATGAGGTCGTCCTCAATGGCTTTCATATCCTTTAACTTCAGTCTCAGTCTTTCCACTTCTTGAGAGAGCTCTTTAATCTTATTGTTTTCTTGGTGTAATGCTGTTGTAGACTTACTAGAATCTTGATTCAATTTGTTTTTTAGGAAGTCTTTCTCAGTTGCTTCCAATGATTGAAGCCTATTTTTCAACATATTAACTTTGGACAGAAGATCATTTCCTTTCTCTTCTTCTGCTTTCAGTTTGTTTTTTAGGTCATCTCTCTCCTTGGTTACGCTATACATTTTTTCTTCTACATCAGTTTTGGACTTCAGTGCCCTTTTAGTTTCCTCAATTAACTTCTCAGTAACCGTTGTCACTTTATTTTGCTCCACTTGAAGCTGAGAAGCAGCAGCTTGTAACTTATCTTCAGTTTGCTTTAATTTTTCACTCATGGTTTTCCGTTCATCTACCAGCATCACAGTTAATGTTTTCAGTTTAGTTAAGTCCTCTTTCAGGGTGAATTCTGTCTTTTCCAGCCGACTTTCAATGGCTTCTAGCTCTTTGATCCTTATTTTTAAACTTTCTAGTTCTTGAGACAACTGCTTTGTGGTCATCCTTTCTTTTTCTAAATTGCATTTCAGAGAGTAACATTCTTGTTTGCTTTTGTTGAAAGCATCTTCTAATTTTTCCAGAGCTGTAATCCTTTTATTAAGTTTTTCGACCTCAAGTTTAAAGTCTTTACTCTGTGATGTTTCCTTTTCAAGCCTGTTATTAAGGTCTCTGCACTGCTCCTCCATTTTTATGAGCTCTTCATCCTTCCCTTCCATTTCTAGCACACGTTTCCTGAGCTCCTCCACTTCAGCCATGATACCAGAGTTTCCATATTCTCCCTTGTTGATTTTTTCTTTTATATCTTGGAGCTCCTCTTCTGCTCTTCGTAAAGACCTGTTTGTCTCTTCTAACTCATCAATTTGCCGGCTGAGCGCTGCCAGCTTTTGTCGAAGCTGGCGATTTTGGCCATCCTCATTGGTGAGCTTTGCCATGATTTCTTCTTGGTTCTGGTGAAACTCTGTGGTCTGCGTTTGCAGTTCTTTCTCTAGTCTGGTTGCCTTCTGCTCTTCTTCCCGAACTCTGGTTTCAGCAAGGGCTAGTTTAGCATGTGTTTCCCTCGCACTTGTGGTTAGGTCTTGGATTTTTTGTCTTTGAAGGGCAAGCTGTGCCGTCAGCCTTTGTTGTTCATCCACCACCATCAAAGCAAAAGACTTCAGTTTGGTCAACTCCTCTTTCAGGGCGGTGACCCTCTTCTCCTTTTCTTGCTCCTTCTTCTCCTGGGATTCGGTTTCTTGGTCAATCAGCCTCTTTAATCTGAAAAATACAAGAGTGCATTCTGTTTTGTGATTGGTGCTTTAGTAATTCATCAGCTGTGATTAAACATTTAATTTAGAAAGATCGTATCAGCTCTTACAGAATATGGAAAGGAATACCTTAATTTGATGGAGGAAGAGAATCTTGATAAACACTTATCTTGCTTTTCTGCTTTCACTAGCCCCCGCCCCCAACACCTCATCGATTAGTAACATTTGGAGTTCACCAGGAGCCTTAGTAGAAGAGTATTTAGCAAGATATTTAGGCTAAATTGCTTGTGTAATATATAATCAGTATTCGGTCTAACCGGAAGGCTGTAAAAACAGCCACAAATTTGAGATAGTTAGACCTGGCTTAAAGACTGACCCTGCTCTTACTAGATTAATCTGGGCAGTTGTTTAACACATTTCAGCTTCAGTTTCCTCATATGAAAAATAGAGGCAATAATTGTATTATCTCAGGAGGCATTAGTGAAAACTAAATCAGATAATTCATCTAAGATTGTCATAGTGCTGGCACTGGGTAAGCATTTGATTAGTGGTTGCTGTTGTTCTTTTTTTTATTAATGTGGTTATTACATTTCTCAAATGGTTTGCTTGAACCATTACAATATGTGTACATTAATGTTTGGTGCTTCTTAGTTCTTAGTTAAGATTTTATTCACATTGCTTAGAAATGATGCACTTCACTGATGGACCTCTGTGCCAATTAAAACTTGTTTTACACTAGCATGACATCGTGCCAGGAATCACATCATATATATCTTGATCCCCATAGTGGACAGTAGTTGAATAAGGGGGAACTGAGAAGCATCTGAAGCGTTTAGAGTTTTTATAACATATGGGAAGAACACAGGGTTTGATAGGAAAGAGCTTATTGATGAGAGTCAGATGCTAGAAATGATGGAGGGAAAACTCTATTATCAGGAATGTAATGATTTCCTCTTAAAGATGATTCTCTTGTAACATGTTATTTTTTTCTTTTACATTTGAAATTTGTTGGCATAACAGGAGGGCATTTGACATGCAATATAATCTATCTCTTCTGTACACTTTTTTCCTCAGTAGTGAGGTCATAGTTTTGTATTTGTGGCACTCTTAATTACACTGGGAATGGGCTGATTATAGAGGATGTAATTACAGCTTTGCAGTATTGTTATACAGAAGCTAAAATAGAATGGAATCCCTGAAGAATTGAACTAAAGGACTTGTCGTTAATGAAAAGTTATATAAATATTTTTTTCTGGTCAAACATGAAGAGTTGATAATATTTTAATATAGCTTTTCTATTAGGAATGAGTTAATTATCCAATGTGTATCTTTAATTTTTGCCATAGAACTTTCTTTTTGAAAGTTGTTTAAGGATTTGAGAGAACATTTTAAAAAATTAATTTAGAGTAGTCTTCTTCGAAATAAAGAATTTTTTTGAGATCCTAATCTACTCTTCTATAATTATACTATACAAGAGGAACATGTTTAAAATAGTTGTATAATATGAGAATTCTCAAACTTTTTTGTGGGGAGGATCCACTTTTAGTTTTTCCTGTTTTGAGAACCTGACAGGAGGCTGGCCCAAGGGCTGTGGCCTGCGAAATTCTGAAGAAGTTGGGCTGGATGCTGGGGTGAGGTTGGTGATGATCTCATTCACAGTCTTGGCAAGACGCTTGCCTGTGGCTTTCAGCCGTGTCCCACTCCCTACTTGAGACACCTGTGAGCCTGAGAAGAAAAACATGGCGGCTTCTTCCTGAATGGTCCTGGGACTTCACAACCCAGTGGCAGAGTCCATGGGTAAACTGCTATGGTGGTGAAATACTTAGAGACTTTGGTAAAATACTTCTTCCTCCCACCTTAGCATTAGAATCATATTTAACAGTGCGCTGAGCATAACTGCAGCAAAATATTTTTTCCCCTCTACATCACAGTTCTTAAGAGTTTTATTAGAGAATAGTTTCACAAAAACTTTTCAGGATTTCTTTTCAACTTATTAAATAATACCATGTGTTACTTCATTTTCATGAGACGGAGATGTGTTTTCTTAGGATATAAAGGAGAGATTGTTTTGCGGACAATGAAAAGACCATTAAAATTGAGTGGTGATTAGTGAATCTTGGTAGTGCCCTAGTGGGCAAAAAGGGTTTTGAAGAAGTTTAAATTATTTATATTGCATTCATTGTTTTCAGCAGCAAGCATGACACATCTTTTTCAGTATGGTACAAATTCATGTATATTTTTATGGTTTCTGAAAATTGGCTTGCATTCCAATCTGTTTGCAAACCCCATCTTAAAGGTAGGCACATAGAGATGACAGTTTGAATACATTTGCTCTCAGCATTTCCTTACCACTTGTTTCCTAACAACCTGCTATTTCCCTGTGCCAGTCTCATGAGCACATCATATGACAGTCAACAAGCTAGTCAGGTAAAACCTGTCAAGGGAGGAAAGTAACTTATATGCAGAAAGAGTTCTACCCCTAACCATCAAGTCCATAGCTTGTTGCATACATGTATATTGGGGGCAGCGGAGGGGAGACAGAGAGAAAGACAGAGACAGACTGACTGACTGGTTATGCTACTGAATTGGAATTAGCATTTCTGGTACAGTGAATGGGCTTACCCTAAATCACTCACTATTTCTTGCTTTATATCCAGGAGCAATTGAAGGTTGAAGTTTGAGGTTAATTTATGGTCTTAAAAAAAGGTGTTTCTTTGCAAAGTTAGCTGGTCTTTATAAAATTGGAAGCTACAAGCCTGGCCTTTTGTGCACAGTGCCCTAAAGGAAGCTAATTGTCACACTGCTAATTACTAATGCAGGGATGTGTATATGTGTGTGTGTGTATACATATATACACACATATTTGACAGGGTGTATTTTTTCTTTCAA